AAAAAAAAAAAAAAAAAAAAGACATACATGAAACAAAAAAATCATTGCACTATAAGAACTTAGCTCTATTCATTTGTATCACTACTCACATGCATTAATATTCTGGTAGTTGCTAAAATGCCAATACTTGAATTTGGAAGAACATGAAGAGCAAGGGTACAAAGGCGCTTGATGAAGGCGAGGGCTCGCTGCTGAGAAACTTGCTTTCTGCGCTTAGTCAGCATGACCTCAAGGCACTGGAGTACAGTCTCGACACCTTCATTGGTAGCACCTAAAATGGCAGACATATTCTTCAAGGCTATTCTCATTACTTTTTTATTATGCAACTTCACTTAACTCCAGAAAAACCCAAGATGAACTGTTGTACTGTCCCAAACCATTTCCCTAACCAATAAGGTAATGCCATACTGCTAAGGAAATGCAGTGGGCTATATTTACTACATCTCCAGTCAATTCCAAAAGTTTTCTCTCTCCAGGTCTTACATAAGATTAAATACAGATGCATAGCACTGATAGACCACAGCATGTTATGTATCAGATCCTATTTCTCATTTGTCACTGACTACAATTCTGGTCATAACACATTCTTAGAAGATAAATATGTATTAAGGAAACATTATCTAAACATATATACCTGCATGTAACTTGAACAGTGTTTTGTAGAGATGTGTATAGAATTTCATTGGATCAATATTCAGAACATCACCTTTGAAATAACAACAAATACCAATTAGGTACGTATACCTTCAAAGATAAAGCAAACAGAACTTCATTAAGAAACTATCTTATTACCTTGTCCAGAAAGTATATGAAAAGCAGTCTGGACACAGTGAAGACTTTCTTGATAGCTTAGGTCCTTTAAAAATATATATATATACACATTAAGAATGATAATTACCATTTATATCTTTAAAGAAGTAATTCATTAATAGAGTTTACTTACTCCAGACTCAATGAGAGTATGAAGAACTACTAATAAATCATCAAAAAACTCCACATTTATAAGGTGAGCAAACCTAGAATCAAATAAAACTGAGTTAACAGATAATCTAAGAACAGAAATAAAGCAGGTAAAAATTAAGCTTGACTTTAAAACTATATTTTAACATTCCTTATTTCAAATGTTAGCTATGATGGAGATAATGGCAATTATTGATACTTTTCATTAATTCAGATTGGCCTTTTTGACAATTCAGACACTGTTGGACACTATACTCAGTGAGAATATACGAGGCACTAAACAGACTAAAAATACTTAAAAAATACTTTTGCCCTGAGAAAGAAGTTGCTAAGAGCCAACAACTTCCCTGAGGAAAGTTTACTATGTGTCCAGCACTACTCGAAGTCATAAAAGAAACAGCAGCATCAGCTTCTAAGAAAACAGGTGGTGGGGCTGGGCATGTTGGCTCACGCCTATAATCCTAGCACTTTGGCAGGCGGAGGAGGGAGATCACTGGAGCCAGAAGTTCAAGACCAGCCTGGGCAACAAAGCAAGAGACCCTGCCTCTACCAAAAAAATTTTTAAAACTTAGCTAGGCATGGTGGCATGAGACTGTAGTCCCAGCTACTCCAGACGCTGAAGTGGGAGGACTGCTTAAGCCCAGGAGTTCAAGAAAAAAGAAAAAAAGAAAGAAAGAAAACAGGTGGTAGAGTGGTGGGAAGAGAGAAAGGAGGAAAGATTCTGCAATTTATAAGAATATGGACCCTATGACGGCTTTAAATATAAAATGGAAAGAATACTGGACCTAATATCTAGCTCAGGCTCTGCTATTAATTACCTATGTGATACTAGGTAAATGTCACTTGATTGTCCTGGGCTTCTATTTCTAGAAATAACTAAAAACACCAAATAGGGTTAAGGAGAAAGAATCATCTGAGCTACCAAATGTGAGAGTACTCTGTATACTATATTAGGCATTGAAATAAGTCAGGGTATCTCTTCAATATTAGTGAAGAATCCTGGACCCTATGTAAATCTTAGAACAAGACCCTAGAAGTGATATATTCCATGAGTATTAGTACAACTTTTTAGAGAAGCAATTTGGCAGTATTTATCAAAATTTAAAATTAGCATATCCTTTGATCTGGCAATACATGCACACAAGTACACGAAGATGTATAAGGATTTCCAGTGCAACACAGGGGACTGACCAAATAAAGTATTACATATCCATAAAATGGAGTACTATTAACTTTAAACAAATTAAGTAATCTATACATGGTAACATGGAAAGATACCCAAAGTAACTGTTTACCAAAAAAAAGCAAGTTACAGGATGCTATACACAGCGTGATTCCACTTGTGCGAAAGGCAGGCAGATAGACCTGCATACATATACAGGAGGGGGAACTCATAACTTTAAATTGTATATTCTTCTGCATTATTTGAACTTTTAAAATGAGCGTGTATTATTTAAAAAAACTTTGTTAAATAAAGGAATCGGTCATTAAAAAAACAAGCAGCAGGTCATATGCAATCTAGGAATAATCCCTTTTCTGACCAGCCTCTCTTTGAAGATTTTCAATTTCAAATACTACATTACCCTATAAGGAAATGCATCCCACTGTCAAATAGCTCCAGTCATTAGAAAGTAATTTCTTACGATGAACAGAACTTGCCTTTTCTTTATCTTTCAGCCACTAGTCTTATTTCTAACTTTATTTCTGAAGTCGTACTGTCCAACAATAGTAATCACTAGCCACATGTGGCTATTAGGCACTTAAAATGTAGTTAGTCCAAATTGAAATGTGCTCTAAGTGTTAAATATACATCAGTTTTCAAAGACATGTTATGGAAAAAAAGAATGCTAAATATCTCAATAACGCTTAATACTTCTTATATGTTAAAATAATTTAGATAAATCAAATTTGATAAAATACATTAAATTAATTTTACCTGTTTCTTTTTACCTGTTTAATGTGGCTAACAGAAAATTTGAAATTGCATACATAGTTCACATTATATTCCTATCGGATAGCAATGTTCTACAGCTGCGGTCCCCAGCCCCTGGGCCACAGCCCGACACCAGCCTGTTAGGAAACAGGTTGTGCATCAACACCTGAGCTCTGTACCATCCTCCCCGCTACCCACAATACCCCACCCCTCTCCTCACCCCCGTGGAAAAATTATCTTCCATGAAACCAGTCCCTGGAGCCAAAAAAGTTGGGGACCGCTGTTTTACAGGATACTACCCCAAATAATTGTGGAAGCTATCATGACAACAATTAATTCTGGTTAACACCCATGAAAAGGTCATCAGTGTTGACATAATATACAAAAAGATCTATCTTAGCAGGAACAGATTACACAGAACTAGAGAAATGATGTGCAAGCTAGATTAAAATAGATTTAAGAGTCATTTGCATTATCCACTCAAATAACAGCTGGGTACAGTGGTTCATGCCTGTAAGCCCCACACTTTGGAAGGCCAAGGCAGGAGGATCACTTGAGGCCAAGAGTTCAAGATCCAACTATAATGGTGGATAACTGACTACACAGTGCAAAAGGAACCAAGAACAAGAGATGAACCTTGGAGACACCCAGAATTTGGTAAGCAGAAGGAAGCAGTTAGTAAAGGACATTTTAAAAATAAAAGGTTTGAAGGCCAGGCGCGGTGGCTCACGCCTGTAATCCTAGCACTTTGGGAGGCCGAGGCGGGCGGATTATTTGAGCTCAGGAGTTCGAGACCAGCCTGAGCAAGAGCGAGACCCCGTCTCTACTAAAAATAGACAGAAATTAATCAGACAACTAAAACTATATAGAAAAAAATTAGCCGGGCATGGTGGCGCATGCCTGTAGTCCCAGCTACTGGAGAGGCTGAGGCAGGAGGATGGCTTGAGCCCAGGAGTTTGAGGCTGCTGTGAGCTAGGCTAATGCCACGGCACTCACTCGAGCCAGGGCAAGAGTGAGACTCTGTCTCAATCAATCAATCAATCAATCAATAAAGGTTTGAGATGAGAAAACCAAAAAGCCAATCGTTATGAACAGTTTCAAGGAAAGACCGGTGACAAATAAAAAACGCATGAGAACTGAGGACAATGGGTCATGATTAGTGAACCCTATTTAAAATTCATGATTACTTTGGTCTTATCTATTTAGAAAGAACCTAGAAAGGTTTCAACCTACACAGCCCTTACTTGGCAAGACCTTCCAGAACTGCTGGCAGGAGAGGTGACCTCTGGGCCTTCTTCAATATTCTGAAGTAGGTTACAAACACAATATTCAGAGTCTCTGTATGCTGGCAGAGGGAACAGACAAAATGACTTTAGGATAAGCTGGAATGCTTTCTTCTGAGTCAGCATAACTATGACTTCCAAAGTTTAACCTTCTTTTACCCCTTCCCTCCCCTCCCCACAATTCAATCTATGGAACTTTAATAAAATAGAATAAAGATACACAACCTGTGATTTCATAAAACTAGCACTGATCACATTATAGCTTCCTGCACATCACAAAAATCACACATCAAAACCTCATAAATAAACCAAAATTATATAACTACAAGTTGAAATAATACATTTCTAGTTAAAATCATTTAAAAAACATTTTAAAAGCATAACAGAATGTGAAACTACCCACAAGTTTAAGTTTCTTCTCAGTACTCTCTGAAGCTTCTGCCTCCCGAAGCTCTCGTTCTAGTTTCTCTTCTGCTTTCTTCCACTGAAAGAAAAAAAAATCTAAGAGTACATACCACTGAGTGAAAAAAGCAGAGGAAGAATATGTAAATACTAAAAAACACATACAATACCACATATTGTCTATGAATGCAAATAAATAAAAGTAGAAAAACATAGATAAAAAGTATACACAAACCTAATTAATGATGGTGGCTGCCTCCTTGGGAAGAAGGCAGAGAATGAGATGGAGAGAGAAACAATGGGGATTCTTACTCTCTCACCAATGGTTTCTTTCTTTTCAAGGATAAAGTAAGTCTATTAATATTTGTTCATCATGAATGGTGGATACATGGGATATATTAATGTTTTCTGTAATTTCAATTGAAATTTTTCTTTTCTCTTTTTTTTTTTTTTTTTTGAGATGGAGTCTCGCTCTGTTGCCCGGGCTGGAATGCAGTAGCATCATCATAGCTCACTGTAACCTCAAACTCCTGGGCTCAAGCAATCCTCCTGCCTCAGCCTCCCAAGTAGCTGGGACTACAGGTGTATACCACTACGCCCAGCTGATTTTTCTATTTTTGTAGGGATGGGGTCTCACTCTGTTGCTCAGGCTGGTCTCAAACTCCTGGCCTCAAGTGATCCTCCTGCTTCAGCCTCCCAAAGTGCTGGGATTATAGATGTTAGCCACTGCGCCTGGCCACCAATCAAAATTTTTCAAAAAAGAATAAACAAAAAGAACATGCTGAGCCCAAAAATAATTCCTAGTTGTTAAATCACCTATTATAACATGGAAGCCAATCATCAATACTTCTTAATCACATTTACATACAATGCATAAAACCAGATACTATACAGAAATTCAATAAAATAACCATTTTTCCCCCACGTCTTAATGCTGTAAGAGGAGCAAACGATGGTTGCTAAGCTACCTGAGGCACAGGGGACTGACTGAAGCATAGGTTTCTTCTCTCATGAGAAGCTGTTAAAGGTTGCCATGTTCTTAATGGGTCTTTGTTTCCCCACCACAGCTGTATACTTGCTGTTCCTAACAGATATCCAACTTAGGATAGTATAAATAAAATATTTACCTTCATTTGTTTATAATTATTAAGTCTATTTTGATACTTCTGTCATGTTTTCAAAATTTATTATACCCAAAGATGAATACCCCTGGAAATTATTTTTTTGTTTTGCTTTTACAAGCAACTTGATAACTCTAATAAATTGTTTAGAAATGTTTTAAGTAGTGATAATAAGAATAAAAATGATGTTGGTGGTAGTAACAACTAATGTTTATAAAGCACATTCAGTGTTATGAACTCTCAGTGCTTTACATACATAATCTCATTTAAACTGCACAATGACCCTGTAGGGTAGGGTAGGTACTATTATTAGTCCCATTTCTTAAAAAAAAAAAGAAGAATGTTTCCAAAGTCTCAGTAAATAAACAAGGGGCTGGAATTTCAACCAGGTTTAAAATATAAACCAATAAAGAAACATGATTCAAATAACAGAAACTCACTTTGCTGCCAAATTCACATGAATGCATCCTTTCTGTTAAGGAGGGAATCTGTGTATCACAATTCTAAACTGATCTAAAGGCCAGCCTGTCAAAAATATCTATCCTTTCTTTGCCAATAATTATCAGTCCCAACTGATTTAAGAAAACATTTCTTTGCAGTACTGGGAAAAGTAAAATTCTCTAAATATTAGATTTTGAAATTCTTATATTTATGATTTAACTATATTTACCTGCGCCTATACTATGATTTTAATCTAAGATTAAATGAAACAGAATATTGAAATGCAACAAAAAAGAAAATAAGCCCAACCTTTCTCTGCATTCTTGATAGAGTTTTTCTCTTTTCCTTGAAAGTCATGAACTTTTTTGGCTTATTAATGTCCTCTGTATCTTTTTTCACTTCTACTTCCTTGATTCTTAGGCACAAAAATGTTTTTAACATCTAATATTTATAAAAAAAAAGAAACACACATTTTAATATTTATATTGCCCTCAAATACCTTATATAGAAAAGTAAGCACTTAACAATGTTATTTCCTTCATTAACGCAAAAAAAACTTTGAAACATCTTTTATCACATTTTACGCGAAGTTCTCTTTTTGCTAATCATATTCAGTAACTTGTATCTATGAAAGAACACTAGTAAATACACAGAAGGATATTAGCAAATACTAGCTAAATATACCAAACTTTGTTTGCAGTTTAATGAGTATAAAGGAAGAGAGAACACATTACTTGGCATTGGTGGATAGGATTAGGATGAGTAAACAGACCAGAAAAAGAACCAGAACCAAACCTGCTTCAGATTTGCAGTTAACAGCACTAGTCTTCATCCTTTTCTCCCGATGAAAAGTAACATGAAGACTAGTGTTAGCAATTTGCAGACAACTTATTTTCCTTTTTTTTTTTGAGACAGAGTCTCACTGTGTTGCCCAGGCTAGAGTGCCGTGGCGTCATCATAGCTCACAGCAACCTCAAACTCCTGGGCTCAAGCGATCCTCCTGCCTCAGCCTCTCCAGTAGCTGGGACTACAGACATGCGCCACCATGCCCGGCTAATTTTTTCTATATATTTCTATATATTTTTAGTTGTCCGATTAATTTCTTTCTAATTTTAGTAGAGACGGGGTCTCGCTCTTGCTCAGGCTGGTTTCGAACTCCTGAGCTCAAACAATCCGCCCGCCTCGGCCTCCCAGAGAGCTAGGATTACAGGCGTGAGCCACCACGCCCGGCCACTTTATTTTAATTGATTAAAAAAATGCCAATGGTTCTCCAACTTTAGCAAGCATCAGAATCACCTGGAAGGCTGGTTAAAACACAAATTGCTGAGCCCCACCTCCAGAGTAGGTCTGAAGTGGAGCCCCAGACATTTGTATTTCTAATTCCTAGCTGATATTGATCCAGGGACCAAAATAACATGTATTGCCTTAAGCCATTCAAAATTTCAGAAACTATTATGTAATTTGGAAATTGGTATTTTTTGTGTTACAGCAACCAGTCTCATATTCAAACACAAAAAACAAAAGGAGTTAAAAATCCTATACTTTCTCTGGAAAAAACCAACCTACTGACCTCCTGCAGGCACAGCAGCATTCCTGGAACAAAACCTTGAGAACTAAAAGTTTGTATTATTTGGATGTTCCAATATGCACATTTGGAAGAAAGCTGAATATTTTGGATTACAGAGCTAAAAGCACAGAATGAAAACAAGGAATAACTAAAGGCATAAAGAGTGAACCTGAAGGCATTCTAGGTATCCGAAAGATCAATTTCGAATATTTTGTAGGTATTCTATGTGGTCATAAAATATCACCCACCAGTGAAAAATAACTCCAAATTAAAGGATGTAGTTTTTCTTCTAGCATCGCTAAAATCTAAGAGTTTCCTTATGGCTGAGTTTCATGTTCAAGCCTTATCATCTGATCACTCTATGATTCTGAATACAGATTCTGAATATTTTCTGTTCCTTAAGCCCAATGTTTATAATTTTAGTGACTCAAATTAAATCATGACTTTTAAAGAATACGAGGGATTTGATGGCAAAGGACTGTGAAATTAGGAAATAATTTTCAGTTCAGAAATAAAATTTTGTGTGTGTAGGAATTTAGTATATAATAAAGGCAGCATTTTAAATTAGAAAAAGGAAGATGATGGAATAACTGCTTGTCTATTTCAAATA